AAAAACAGAAGTGGGGGGGGGGGGGGGGTCACTTTTACCTGTATAGTGACACACTAGTAACATATTGCAGAGGAAGATGACATATACGGTGGGAGACACAGTAAGGGAATAAGGGAGGAGTGATAATAGCTGAGCCAGTGACAGTCAGATAGAGGTAATAATTAATTTCAGCTCTGTCCTCTCTCTCTTAACTTCTTTTCCCCATAGATGAGCCCTATTGTTGTCCACTAATACAGTTATTAATGGAGGCCAGCACATAGGCCACCACAGTCAGTCAAACATTCTTTTTATATCAAGCTCCCCACCTGCACAGAGCGAACTATCTTGGGACTGTCTGTGCGAGGAAGAGAAGAAACGTGTTTTTTTAATGCATGTGTTAAAAGAGCTGGATATAGCAGAGCTAGTTTGTCTGTGGGCCAAATTGTGGCGCTGCAACACTGTTTCATAAAGCAGGTATATTTGTATTGCTGGGAGTACGGTAACCTGCTTTTTGAAATCTTAGCCCCCTCATTTTCACAACATGATCCATGAGTGATTGCAATACAACAGTGTGAGTCAAAAATATGTGTTTGCATAACAGGTCTAAGTATAATCTTAGAAGCGATGCTGTAGAAATGTGTTATGAAAATAGGCTTGTGTGGGGATTGAAGAGGAGTGACCTTGTTTCACAGTATCTTTTGGGATGTGATACAGTTATTCTGGCTGTTATTAATGTGCTACAGTCACAATGCATCCAATTCATTGTGAACTACACTGCCCTGCCAAGAAACACAGAGATCGTTTTTAGTTTCCTTTTTTTCTGCCAGTTAGGTTTCCGGGAAAACAATTCTTGAAAATGAGATTCAAACAAGGAGGAATCTAAGTTGCAAAAATGCCCCAATAATTCAGTGTAAATTACTTAAAACCCAATAATTCCCAAAGCGCAAAGCGAAAGCTTAAATCTTAGATTGCTTCAACAAGGTATTGAACACCTAATTGAGGTGATATATCAAATATAATTGCACCACTTTCAGTGCTCAAGGCTTTGATTGTAAAATTTATGTGTTACTTGGCTAATGAGGGTTTGGAGTCATAATATTGTGGAGCTTTTTTTCTGAAAGAGAACAGCGTTTAGCCCTAAAGGCCAAAAAGTGTGAGAGGGAGATTTGTTCTGGTTTATTGGTACATGATTTCTAATAGAGACACAGTGTTCTGGAGGATCTCACCCAGTGCTTTTTTTTACATTTTGTGGCAGAATTTGGTTAATTAAGACTCATATAATGTGAAGTGTGCATATGTGTGGGTGAATATTCACACGTGTGGCTGTGTGCATTTGTGTGTGAGTACATAAGAAAGTGTAAAATCATACCTGCGTGTGCACACAGGCATTTTTATAACCCTTACAATGGTGTATGCATTTCCCTGCGTGTTCTTTGTCCTCGCATGTCCGCATGTGCACATGTTTGCGCCTGCGTGCAATACTGGTCTGCCGGCCTGCGTCCCGTGTGTATGTGTTTGTGTGTGTTTGTGCGTGGGCGTGCGTGTATGTGTTCCAGGAGAGCCAGTGGCTGGACAGTGTGTCTCTCCTGATCAAGGACACGTTAGAGGGGGAGATGCTGATGATCGACAACCTCTCCGGTTCTGTCTTCCACCACTACTCCTCTCCTCCACCAATCTGCAAAGACTGCAAGGGCCACCCACCAGAGGTACCACCCTGAAAACACACAAGCACACGCATACATAAAATATACACACACATAAGTGATGAGGTCAATAGTCTCAAGTATCCACAGCATCTTACAATACCATGGATAGACCCACTGAGCCTGCAGGGCCAACCTTAAGGTCCATACTTCTCAGACATTTCAGAATAGCTCCTATTAATCACACAGAATACTATAGTGTATTTTAATATGCCATGGTGTGCACACATGTTTTTTAGGCTTTGCTCACTTGCTAGACTTTCAGGTTAGCGCAGCTCTTTTCACCCCACATTTCTCTATAGTGAGTACACTTTGCAAAAATGTTCACACAGTTCTCTGGAGCAACATGCAGCTCAGCACAGTGGGTAATCTCACAACTGAAGTGAACTAAGGCAGCCAAAACACATTACACACATCTCAAGATCTACTCTTGTACCACAACACACTGACATCTGTTTTGAACATTTAGTCACTCAACGAGTCGCTGACCTAAAGCGACATGTAGTATTACAGTATGGATTCCATTACTACAAAAAGAAGGGCACCCCTTTACCTTATTGTTCTACCTTAGTATGTGGCTCTGACATGAATTAGAAGCTGCGATATTCTTCAGTAGGCTCTGTTGCTTTTTTGCACACAGTACTTGGATGGCTACACATACTGAAACAGTGCATGTCTGATAACTGCAGCAACTGTGTTACAAAAACCAAAACATTTAACTATGAGTTAGCAAAAGTGGTGAACAGTAAAACTCAGCAGTGACAAACACACACATTGGCACATACAAGACACTCACATACACACCCATGATGTTAGGTACTAGACTGCAGATTTGCTACAGGGACACACAAGGGAACTTGCATTTGCATGCACTGTCATGGACACACATGGGGCTTCATTAATCACACTGCAGTCTGAATTAGAAAGTTGAAGTTAATGCTTTTTAAAGTGTGTCAACTGCTGAATGTGCCATTATATTATTATGTAACAGTATAGTAGGGAATTGCAGTCCTTAATTCAAAACAGTATCAATTCAAGATGATATCAACTTTCTGTGTGTGTAGAAATGTGGATTAATGGAGCCCACTGCATGCATCCATACTTGGAACCATTTCTAATATGCATGCAGGCATGCACACACTAACATTCACCTTTACCAGTGCTTGTATTTGGGGTTATTTTGTGACAGGAGATTCTACATAAAACACAGTGTTTTGTGTTGTGTTGTCGATCACAGTGACAAAGTGCAGCGGGTCACCTCAGAAGAAGCAATAACTGGGCCCTGCACCTCCTCACCCGTCAGTCATACTTTCTGCCTGTCTGCAGATGCTGTCAAACCATCAGTCTTTCTTCCCTCTTTTACACAGTTCTTCTTTCCATCTGTCCCTTCACTCCTCTGGCTGTCCCTTTGCCTGTTATTTATTGCATCTGATCTAGTGCTGTTCTCCTTCTGTTTCCCATGTTCTTTAACCACCAGACTTTCACATTGTGTGTGTGTTTGTTTGTGCGTAAGACAGCTTGTGTGGGTGTGTGCCATTTTCAGACAGATGAGTCTTTCACTGCTGAATTATGTACAGTTGTATTGTATTTAGGGGGAAAGGGAGGCACAGCAGGACACCTGGGTGCAGTGTGTGTGACAGTGGAAATTTTCATCAGGTACAACACTGCCTAATGAGGACTTAGGATCAGCCACAGCTTGAGACTATGACTGAGTCTACATGGAACAGTTCAGTGGGGCAATAAAGGCCTTTGCCATTCATTTAGCTGCTAGCATCTCCAAGCGTGCATGAGCGTTCCACAACATCAGTAGCAGGTCCTTTGATCAAAGACAGCAATTGTGAAAGCACTGCATGATGTGAACGGACTCTGGCACATGGTGATACATGTATTTCAACAAATACATAGTTCCAAAAGGTCTGAGAAGAGTAGTAGTAGCAGTTGTTGAGTCTTGCAGATGTTGTGTATTGTATTTTCACATTTGATAGGCAAGCAAAAACCGTTGCTTGGAAGTAGCTACAGGATGACACATTAGAGTACTTATCAAATCGGTTAGTGTTGATGTGTAAGAGTTCTGACTCTTGTGGTTCCTAAAGGAAGCATGAAAACCTGTGGCAGACAGTAAGGAGGAACAGGAGGAGTGTCTGTTTGTGCACGTGTCCATGCAAAATGAGTGTATGTTTAGCATAAATGATAATGCATATGCTTACCATGTCCTGGGTGGCATGAGTCATGTGATGTGGCCGTGAGACTTTAGCGATGCTAATTTTCTGGCTGAGTCACACAGTCGTCTCCTCTCATTGCCTCCCAGAGGTGCTGAATAAAACAGTGCCTTTTCTTACCACTCTCAGGCTGCAGTGGACACTTTCAGCTGTTTCTTCCTCAGTCCCCAATCTCGTTAGTGAAGCCTTCAGTATTGCTGCAGTTACCCTGAAAGCAACTCTTCCTGTGCTCATTGTTCTTTGTCCCTGGAGGCACAGACAAGAATGCAGGAAGAGAAGGGGTGTCATTTCCAGTACTTGCTGTTAAATCTACCACTGGATGACTGAGATTTTTGAGGATAATTACAACCTACCTCTGAGACACAGAGCAAGTCAGCAGATATGGTCCTTCAGTGAGTAGCTTTAGTGAGGGCCGATATAAGAGAGATAAAAAAGTAAATTGTTCCTTTAAATTAAAGAGTTGCATTGCTGTGCTTCTGCCTCGCTCGCTTGCCGTGCCTCATTCCACCTCTCTTTCGCTCTCTCTTCTTGGGGGCTTGGGCAGTGGTAATTTACTGCTGCACATCAGCCATGAAGCTTTCTCTGTGAACCTCTTTGTCTTGCTCACCTATGGCCATGTGTTAATATATTGCTACCAAGCCTCACTGTATTGAATTTCATTTAGGGACCCTTTTTAATTCCCCTCTCTCTGGCTATTTATTGCTCTATAGCTTTCTAAAGAAACAGAGCTTGAGTATATCATAGTACCCCCTAGAACCCTTAAATTCAACTCCAGCTCACTTTGTTTCACATCTGTGCACAAAAATTGCTCCTAGAGAGGGAGTAGAGGAGAGTGTCAGTCGAGAAGCTCGACTTCAGAGGAGTATTATGCAGTGATCATTTAAAACCAATTCAATAGCCATATGAGCTGTGCTACCTGCAGTCCTGATATAACAAACCTAGCTGGAGTCAGTGTTGAAACAAATCAGAGAGAGAGGGCGTAACAGCTGGAGTAATTGTTTCCAATTATTCTGTGCTTGGTAATGTAGTTTTACAACACCATATGAGACACCATTAACACAGCAAAAGCATTTAAATGTACAGTTCTTTTTGAAAGTATAGACAGTTAGCTGTAGGGGCAGAATTATGGAAACAAAAGCATCTCTTCACCCGCTCTTACATATTTGTGCAGCTACTGCAGGTGCACAGCAAACATTCACATATACACCCAGCCACTGCGTTGGATATCTGCCTCTCACCTTGCAGTCAACATCCTTCTTCACATATTTTTGTGGCACTGGGAAACATTTGTTCAGTTGATGATGACAAAGCAATGCTGTTATCTTTTTGAAATCTCTCGCCATGCTCTCTTTGCAGACAGGTGCCACAACATTATGGCCACTTTGAGTTGTCAACATCTGGTGAAGCATATCGGAGCTTGGTGGAGGTTTTACCTATCATATGTGTAGCTTATGTTGGCCTATAAAAGATACTGTAGAATCAAAGAAATCATGCCAGACCTCTTCAAAACAAACTAATATTTTATACATTTTATATCTACATACACAAATGTGAGTTACAAAGTCAAAGTTGTTATGAACCTTAGATAAATCTGAGCTCATTAAACAGCTTTCTGAAATGTTTTAAACTGTTTCTATTTCCTATCTTTTTAAGACATGAATAATTAAAGTAAATGACTTGCAGCAGATCAGGATGGCAGAGATTGAGCAGGCATCGCTGAAGTCAGAGCAACTGTCAGACAAGTCGTCGTCTCCTGCTCTGCCAGACGACCTCAGCCTGGACGAGCATACTGCCTACCAGCTGCTGGCGCGAGAGAGCAAGGTAGGTGCTGTATGAGCAGAGTGAGGTGAGAACGGGAGATGTAGATGTTCTGTCTGCCAACACAAAGGATGGCGTATGTGGAAATTTTAATTTTGCTCTTACATTGTTTACAATCTGCAACATACAACATACAGTTTCTTTCAGCAGTAGAATACTAGCTTTCTGAGCTATCAGTAGTAATAACGTGCAGGTTACACAGACATTCGTGTATTGACCGGACCTGGAATTTGGTCTTGAGGCTAATTATTTAAAAACTGGGTGGTCTCACAAAAATATTCAAATAAAATCATGATTTATCCCAGTGATAATCTCTTATAATGAATAGTCAGTTTAAATTGAGGGCGCATTGTGTGCTTGTGTGTTTGTGTGTGTGATAGAGAAACAGGGAGAAAGCACCTGCTTTTCAGCTATTGCCATGCTCAGGAACATTTTGTTGAACTGTGTACCTGCTGGTCACCTTTAAGCTAGATCTTGCATCCTGCCAGTATAAATTTTTTGTGTAAAAAAAGAAAAGAAAGAAAATCACCAATCAGTACGATACCGACTACACCACAAATTCACAGTGTTTAACTTCTACACTGATCAGCTACAACATTAAAACCACTGGGAGGTGAAGTGAATAACATGGACTATCTCATTACACTAGCTCCTGTCAAGGGGTGGGGAATATTAGGCAGCAAGTGAGTCGTCAGTTCTTGAAGCTGCATTGGAAGCAAAAAAAAGATTGGCAAGTGTAAGGATCTGAATGACTTTGATAAGGGCCACACTGTGGAGGCTAGACAGCTGGATGAGAGCTTCTCCCAAACAACAGGGCTTGTGGGGTGTTCCCGGTCTCTAGTGGTTAGCACCTACCAGAGTGGTCTAATGAAGGACGACTGGTGAAACGACGACAGGGTCATGGGCGCCCAAGGCTCACTGATGAACATGGGCAGTGAAGGTTAGCTCGCCTGGTCCAGTCCCACAGAGGAACTACTGTGGCACAAATTTCTGAAAAACATAATGCTGGCTATGATAGACAGCTGTCTGTCACACACACACAGTGCATTGCAGCTTGCTGCATATATGTGGACCGGTAAGAGTGCCTATGCAAAAACCTTGGGTCTTTGCATTCATGTATACATTCCTGTTATGTTCATTTCTCAGGTGATGCCTGCTCAGCAGTTATGTTCGTGGGTCAATTTGACCCGCAACATAACAGGAGGGTTAATATATGTTAAATCAGCCTTAAAGTTATTCATTCTGCAAGACGACAGTTAAAGTGTAGGATTTTCATTATATATTGTTAAGTGGTAGAAAATGAATCCAGAACAAAGCAGAGCCTCAGATCCCCTGCAGATATAACACGGCCTCAATTCACCCTTTGGGGTTTTCATTTTAGTGATAGTGAAGGGGCTAGAACTGATTATTAGCTGATTACTGCCAAGTTAATGTTATATATTGTAACAATAAATGTTTGATCATATATGTGTGAGTGAGCGTGACTGCTGCAGCAGCTGGAAGCGGGCGGCAGATTGAGGCAGGAATTCAGCTTTGTACCTCGTATGTTTTAATTACCATCATGTAGGGACTGCAGAACCATTTATGTGTGCTCATGCGCACATGTTTGTATGTGGGGGTGTTTGGGTGCACCTTTGTACTTTCATTAGTGTATTGTACCTCTGAGTCATTCAGTCCTAGCTCATGAACAGCACCCTTTCAAACAGCCAGCCACCCACACCCATACAAAACCTCAAACAGCCTTGGCACACATGCTTAATGCCCCCCACACACATTTTTAATCAAACAATTTTGGACAAGTTTAAAAAAGATATAAAATTCCTGACCTTATTTCCTTTCTCACCTTCTGTCCTTTCCTCTTTCTCTTTACTCTTTTTTGCCATCCTCTAATGAGCAGCGGTTCACAGCCATGCATGGCGACTACAGGCTTATCTGGCTATGCAGAACCAAGGAGCATTACCCCATTACAGAGGAGAATATCTTGGAAGGACGAATGATAAGGGATGAAGATAGGGGGGGCTAGAGGGAGGTGCAGAGTAGGTGTGCAATTACCAGAGGGGTAACAGTGTGAAAGGAGAAGCATGAAAGATAAAGTCGAAAGGGGGGAGAGTGGGTGCAAGAGAGGGACCCATGAGAGCCACCCAAGAAAGCAACTCAAGAGAAGCTGGTGAAAAGATTTATTCATGAGGAGGTCTGAGGTGTATAGAGGGCATGGATTCTTCAAAGACAAGATAGTTGCCACTGATAAACAGAAAGAAAGAGATAAAGGGGCCTCTGCAACTTAAGGCTTATATCTGTAATTCACAAGCGAGCCCACAGCAAAGCCATGACAATGATTTTATAATGGCCATTTATTTTGTGCTTCCTGGAATGAATAGAAATATTCATCAATCACACTCTGCCACTGTTTGAGCTATACTGTGCCTGTCAAGTACAAAGTAGTGGACATATATAGTAATCACCCACAGCATTAAAACCGCCTGCATAATACTGTGGAGGTTCCCCTCAAGCCACCAAAACAGCTCTGACCCACTGAGGCACGGACTCCACAAAACCTCTGAAGGTGTCCTTTTGTATCTGACACCAAAGATGTCAGGAGCAGATCCTTTAAGTCCTGTAAGGTGCGAGGTCCATAAATTGGATTTGTTTTTCCAGCATATCCCACAGATGATCGATGGGACTGAGGTGTGGGAAGTTTGGTGGCCAAGGCAACATTTTGAACTGTTTGTCATGTTCCTCCAGCCATTCTTGAACAATTCTTGCAGTAATTTAATGATCATCATGTCATATTTTAACCTAATCCTGAACATCTAATTTTGTTGTTTCTTTTTTTTTTTAAATTTGGGAATACTTTTGATTTTTTTTTGTTTGATTTATTCTTTCAAACATGTAACGACAGTCAATATGTCAACACACATAATTTCACACATATCCACAAATGCATTATCAATTTGCTTATACCTAGTACATGCTTGAACGGAGCAGGAAGAAGTTAGACTTATCTAGTCCTACCCCATAACATCATCTTACCATCATTGGTTTGCAAGCAGTATTACTACATAGATAATTTTGTTCTACACCAC